GATATAAACCTAATTCCAATTATTAACTCCATGTGGATTCGATCCCCACCTAGTCGGGTTAAAACTGAATTGAACATCCTCTCTACTCAATAGTAGTATAGGCTTGGAACCGATCAGGTAGCCAAATAACAATTCATATAAAGAACCATAAAAATTAAAAATTTGGTGGAAGAAAAGATGAAACCTGGCCTCCACGATGGCTCTGTGCTCTCCCTTTGTCAAACGTTACTCTAAAAAAGTTCCCCCCCCCCCCAAATAGGTTTAGGGTGGATTTTATATGAGTTGGGGGCATCTTGGGGTCTAAATAACCGAGTCCCGGTCGAAATAGGACACTTTCATGTCTTGAGTGCCCAGGGCAACGTGGGGCGCTGGCCCTGGCACTCAACTTTTCAGCACTTTGTTTTGTGCGCCACAGGTAGCGCCACACGCTACCTGTGGTCCTCAAATGTGTACTTTTGCCTTTTCTTTCCATTTTCTCTCCAATTCGCATACTTTTGTACCAAATTACATCCGAATGATTCCTACACATAGTAATACCATAAATTAGCAAAAATCATTATATTATACATCCGAAATCTACGAGACATGAGCACAATATGAGGCAATATACATCAAAATATGCGTACATTAAGCCGAATATCAACATCCCACACTTAAACTCTTGCTTGTCCTCGAGCAATGGAACTATATTAACACCCCAAAACATACCTATCACTATGAAAGAGCAATTCACATTTAATTCCATCACACACTTTACCTTTTGACTATGGTCGATAGTGACAGTTAAGCATGAACACACAAATTTCACATTCTTCCCATTTTTAAACTAGCACAAGTATATACAATGCTATTCAACCAATTCAATCAACCTCTCCACAACCACCCAACCTCAAGAGATGACTCGTTACCACTAAGCATTCTCAACTCACGCACTCACCCAACAAAAGAAGTGTACAATATCACCAATCTGTCATGAGACAAAGTGCCCTCACCACAAGCAAACAAGTTAATATAGAGGTAGCCCATACATTCAAATATGTCATAGAACATAAATTAAGGACATCACACTATAGAACAAAATTCGCTCACTCTCACAAAGAATTCATGTGCCTCCCGTGGTCGTACCATAAGCTTGCCCGTAGTCTATATCTCTACTGATATAAGTTAGCCAAATCTAGGATCAATTAGGAGTTTAAGATTGTCGTATTGGCTAAGGGACGGGTAGGATACATTTTAGGAACAGTGACTAACCCTCCTAAGTACTTTAACACACTACTCTCACAAATTGAGCACATCTTCTTTTCAGCCAATTCACTTGTCATACACCATATATAACATAACCCTATTTTTAATTGATCACCTCTCTATGGTTCCACTAGCACAAAGTAGAAGGATTAGGAGGTGTGTGTCTTTCTATATTATTTGAAATATTTTTTTTCTTCCTGCAATTTGTTTTCTTTCTTTTCTCCACACACTCCATACATTAAGGTTCATTGGCTAGTGACATTTTTTCAAAATTTTAGTGCACCTTAAGGGCCCTTCCATGGTTCCACCCGAAAGCCACTTCCCAATCTCTTACCTAGCTTCTTTTAACGACAAGTGCCTTACGAGGTACAAGTTCAACAATCTCGAATTAAGAACAAAATAGGGGTACGGCCTTTAATGTGGATGCCAAGGAAAAGGTTTATAGGCTCATAGGGGATAGCAACGGAAAGGTTTTATTTGTGAGTGACAAGAACCTATATTATCAAGCAAGAAATGCATATGTTATCTCCTAGACTAGCACAATTTAATAATTTCGTTTTGATTAACACACGAGCAAGTTCTAGACTACACAAGATAACACTAAATATCACCAATCCTTACACACACATTAAACTTGACTTAATCAAGACGGTTCTGTTCGACTCTCAAGTCAAGCAAGCACAACGAGTTGAGAATTTTTAAGCAATAATGCACTAGGTGGCATACAAGTCAAACATCTGAGAAAAAAACATCATAGAGTAGGCTACTTAGTTTACTTGGGCATTTCAATTCAAATCAAATATTCGAGAAGACAGAACGCATGTCATAGCTTAACGTGCCAACACCCAACATGTCAACAGGTACCTCAGAGCACCTCAGTTTTCTCCCTATCCTACTCCTAAAAAAATAAAAATACCCGGTTCGAGCTACACCCATGGTAAAGAACCGGCGTCCAAAGAAAACCCAAGGTATACTACCTAACTATTCTAAAAAGAACAAAATAAAATCTTTTTGGTATTTTTAATCGGACTTTAATCCCTCAAGAAAATTATCCAACAGATCCATCGTTGGGAAAAGTCCGAGCTTTTTCTGATTTTTTTATATAATTTTTTTACTATCTAATTAGACTATGTGAGTTCTTAACTAAGTTAACAAATAAAAAAACAAAATAGTAACAATAAAAAGTTTATACAATTACAAGTCAGGAAGTATTCCCCCACCCCCATACTTAAACAATGCATAGTCTCTGATGCATAACAAATTCAAAACAAAGTAAGGTCGAAAGAAAGAACTCCCTGCTAGTCGGAGTCTGTCTCCTTAGGATGCCTACCAGCTGCGGCTCTGGGCTCATCATCATCATCTGCACCTTAGGACGCCAAAGCCACGGGCCCCGTAACTTCATCATCATCCGCATCCTCATCATCAGATCCACTCACGCTCATCCTCAAATGGATGGATGGGACTGCCCGGTGCTATGCCCGACATCTACTTGGAAGAACTGGAGAGATCATTTCAGAAATGCATGCGCTCCTCATCCAACACCCCTAGCCTGCTCATTATCATATTGAGGGAACTATAAAGATACCTGTTGAAATTTTCGACCCTCTCATTCCTTGCAGCCTGGATTAGCTTTGATGTGGACTCCAATAAGGATGTGATGTTAGCAATGCTTTGGGTGCCTCCACTACATCATCGTAGCCAGGGTACTCCGGTAGCCCACAGGATAGCATGTACTGCATTAGGAGGTTTCCAAAGAAGAACCGTTTGATCCTTTTCCAAAACGGGTGCGGGCTATCTCCCCAAGCATGAGCTCACCCACATTTATGGGTCGTCCAGTCATCAGAAAGTAGATTACACACACTCGAGCTCGAACGCATTCACTGTTATGCTCAACGAGCATTAATCTAGACTGCACAAAATTTTGCCATACCTTAGTCGCCTTGTTGAAGTCGAAACAGAGCACCTCAAGGTGGGCATCTCCCTTAGTCCGTGTCCATTTTGCATTAGAATCAACGCCACAAAGAGTGTGATGTATTGCTTGGTAGTGTGGGCTTTCGATGAACTTTTGTATCCTCCGTGGATTAGGGATATCAACTCCCAAAAAGTCACACAAGGATCGCCTATCCAGTGGTATATCCTTTCCTCGGACCCATGACTAGAACAAGTCTGTGTTCCAGTTGGCATACAGCTCTCGTACTATGCTCAGATTTGTAGGGCCTGGACATTCTATGAGTTTATCCATCTTCATCTCTACCAACCGGGAAAGAATATCCGGGAAGTTCTTTTCTAGGGCCCTCACATTAATCCTCATTTTGGAGACATATCTCCCATATGGCACAAAGTTATCAAGCCATTTGATGGCGTCTTCTCAAACTACATCTACCCGAGGCCGTGGTGGCCTCGTCGACCCGCTAGCAACCTGTTTTCCCTTAGTTTGTCGGGAAGAACCTTCGCCTTGCTTGTTTAATGGCGAAGGACTTTCCCACCCCTTTTCCTTTGGCGGCACTGTCACGAGCCATAGAAACCTACACATGACAAATACAAAGGTGATAATGAATTAAGAAATTCGCCCAAGGTCATCGTGAGAGGCAAAGATTACCCCACACTTAAAATCGAAGGCAATGTATAATATACTCACAATAGTGGTTCAACGTTCACCAATGTGTCATCGCAAGGCTATATGTACTCAAGACTTCCCCATGCCATACAATTCAAGTAATCTAACATGGTCGTAACTTAACCGTAGTGCAAGCAAGCAATGCTAAAGTCCACATTACTACACTAATATAGTACACTAACTACTACTTACAAGAGTTTACAATAAGATACAATACCCCCAAACACCCCCACACTTCGCCCAACACCTTGTGGATATCAATTTTGCTTCTATTATTTCAACAATGGTGGAGCAGGTGGCCCTCCCAAATTTAAATAAAGTAGAGGAAATTGTAGTTTACTACTTTAAATACAACTTTACAACCAATATTGGAAAATAATTTCGTGCACAATAGGGCCACCCACCTTAACAACAAAACATGTCAACGAGACCTAGGGGATTGGGGTCTTTTGATAATGGAGGTCATGACAACACACAAAAATTCACAATATACAAGAGAAGAAGGAGATAAGGAAAATACCTTTTAGTCTTGAGAAGAAAGTGAACAACAAAGTTTTGATAACTTGAGAATATGAGAGACAAAGAGGATAGAGGAGAGAAGAGCAGTAGGGGTTTTGGGCATTGTTTAAGAGAGAGGGGGCGGGGTTTTGGGTTAGAGTTAATTTAATTTGGTTGGGAGAATGGTTTTGGTAATTGGGTATGGGTGATTATGTGTGTGTATATGGGTAGTTGGGTCGGGTTATATGGGTTGGATTAACTAAAAAAAGTATACAAACAAACAAAACGAATAATAAATAAAATTACACCTTACCTGACCCCCAAGCTCAGCGCCCCACGCTGGGCTTAGCGCTGGGGTTTTGGCACATACTGGTTTTTGTGCCCCAGGTAGCGTGGGGCACTGGTTCGCCGGATTTTTCATTTTTTTCATAAATTTCTCTTACCCAAGCACTTAATACATATATTATACACACCCCACACCATTCCCGCCTATGATTTCTATAACTATAAAGAAAACAACAAAAAAACTAATATACTCTGACTAAAAGAAAACAAAAAGCTAAGCTACGAAAGCATTAAAAATTGGGTTGCCTCCCAACAAGCGCCTAATTTAACGTTGCGGCACGACTCAACACGTTTTTCAAGCACTAGCCAAGTCCACCGAGGTCTTGTGACGTGCGATGTCACCACCCCAATAATGTTTTACTCTCTGCCCATTTACCAAGAAGGTACCACTTGAGCTCATATCACGCAATTCCACCGCTCCATGGGACCTCACACTTACCACAACGAAAGGACCTGCCCATCAAGACTTAAGCTTTCTGGGTAAAAGCTTCAACCTCGAATTAAACAAGAGAACTTTTTGACCTGGCTCAAACTCGCAATGTTGGATGTGCTTGTCATGCCACCTCTTGGTCTTTTCTTTATATAACTTGGCATTTTTATACTCGTACAATCGAAAATCATCATGTTCGTTGAGTTGTAGCAACCTCTTCTTGCCGGCTAAGTCCATATCAATATTTAGATTTTTAATCACCCAATAGGCTTTGTGTTCAAGCTCGACGGGCAAGTGGCGCACCTTCCCATAAACTAACTTATACGGAGAAATACCTATGGGTGTCTTGTATGCAGTTCCATATGCCCATAATGCATCATCCAGCTTTGCGGCCCAGTCCTTCCTATTTCCACTTACCGTTTTCTCCAGAATATGCTTCACCTCTTTGTTTGACACTTTCGCTTGACCACTCGTTTGGGGGTGATAGACGGTGGTAACCTTGTTCTTAAATCCATACTTTACTAAAACATTATTCAACAACTTGTTACAGAAGTGAGTTCCTCTGTCACTTATCAGCACCCTTGGAGTCCCAAAGCGTGTGAAGATGTGCTTTTTTACAAATTTTACCACTACGTTTGCGTCATTAGTAGGAAGAGCTATGGACTCCACCCGCTTAGACATATAGCCGACCGCCGCCAAGATGTGCTTGTGACCATTAGAGTATGGGAACGGTCCTATGAAATAAATCTCCCAAACATCAAAGAGCTCTACTGCCAGAATATTTTGCAAAGGCATCTCGTGCTTCTTCGTGATTGTTCCGATTATTTGGCACCTGTCATACTTTTTAACAAAGGCGTGTGCATCCTTAAATAGTTTTGGCTAATAGAAACCCGATTGCAACACTTTTTGGGTAGTCTTGTCCCCCACTATGATGACCTCCATATGGAGAAGCATGACAGTCATGAAATATTGCATTCATCTCCTCCTCAGGGACACACCTTCGTACCAACTGATCTGCGCACTACTTATATAGGAATGGCCCATCCCACATGTTGAGCCTCACATCATGTAGAAACCTTCTTCTATTATCGGGTGTCAATTCTGGTGGAGTCACCCCACTTGCAATAAAATTCACATAATCTGCATACCATGGGGCTTCACTCGAGGTGATTGCTATAATTGCTCATCCAAAAATATTTCTTTGATCAAACCTCCCTCAACCACATAGTTCCGATTTTCTAATCTGTACAAGTGATCAGCCACTTGATTCTCTTTTCCTTTTTAATCTCGGATCTCCAAGTCGAATTCTTGCAAGAGGAGAACCCATCGAAATAGCCTTGGCTTGGCGTCTCTCTTTTTAAACAAGTACCTTATAGCTGAGTGATCTGTGTAGACGATAACTTTGGTTCCCACTAGATAAGATCTGAACTTGTCGAACGCCCACACCACTGCAAGTAACTCTTTTTCAGTAATAGTGTAGTTCATCTGTGCTGGATTCAGAGTTTTTCTCACGTAATAAATGGAGTGAAAAACTTTATCCCTCCTTTGCCCCAAAACAACTCTGATTGCTATGTCAGTCGCATCGCACATCAACTCAAATGGTTGCGCCCAATCTGGGGCAATGATAATTGGCCCAATCACCAATCTTCCCTTCAGCTTCTCAAATGCGTTCATACAAGCATCATCAAACTTGAAGAGGGTATCTTTCTCAAGAAGCCTACATAATGGAGAAGAAATTTTTGAAAAATCTTTAATGAAACGACGATAAAAACCTGCATGGTCCAAGAAATTGTGAATGCCATTGACGAATGTCGGTGGGGGCAATTTTTCAATCGTCTCCACCTTTTCTTTGTCCACCTGCAAACCATTTTTGTAAACCTTGTGTCCTAGGACTATACCTTCACACACCATGAAATGGCACTTTTTCCAGTTTAGCACCAAGTTTGTCTCTTCACACCTAGCAAGCACATTATCAAGGTTCATTAAACAATTATCAAAAGAGCACCCAAATACAGAAAAATCATCCATGAGCACTTCTACAAATCTCTCAACCATGTCAGTGAAAATATAGCCATCATACACCTTTGAAAAATCGCAGGTGCATTATAGAGACCAAAGGGCATTCTATTAAATGCATACATGCCATAAGGACATGTAAATGTAGTTTTCTCTTGGTCCTATGGGGCTATAGCAATCTGAATATACCCCAAATAGCCATCTAGGAAATAGTAGTAATCTTGTCCAGCTAAACTGTCAAGCATTTGATCAATAAAGGGGAGGGGAAAGTGGTCCTTTCAGGTGGCATTGTTTAATTTTCTATAATCTATGCAAACCCAGTCACAGTTCTTGTGGGAATCAGGTCATTATTTTCATTAACCACTACAGTCATCCCCCCTTCTTAGGCACACATTGAACGGGGCTTACCCATTTGCTATCAGAGCTTGGAAATACAATACATTGTGTCAAGCCACTTAATCACTTCTTTTCTTAGCACCTCTTTTATGATTGGATTTAGGCAGCATTGTTGCTCTACACTCGGCTTGTGCCCTTCCGCCATGAGGATTTTATACATACAGAAGGATGCAATAATGCCTCTTATGTCAGACATCGTCCACCCAATTGCTCGTATGTGCTCGCGTAGCACTCTCACTAGCTTTTCTTCCTGCAATTTAAGATCCAATTTTGGAGCTTCTTCAATTAACAGCTTTGGAGGAGTCCCACTTGGCCTATTTAGGGGCTCAAAGGGGTTTAATCTATGTATGTAAGTATAGGATGCATCTAGGTTATGCATCATCTCCTCAACCTTATCATCAATCTCCAAGCTATCGAACAACATGAGTGCTTTCTCTAAAGAATCATCTAGATATACACTCATGTTGATAAGTTTCCCATCCACCTCAACAACAGATATCATAGAGAACTCCTCATAATGGCAGGGAAGTTGGATTGCCTTGTAGGAATTAAAGACTACTTCCTCATTGTCCATCCTCATAATCATTTTTCCCTCTCTCACTTTAACAATTGAATCACATGTAGCCATGACAGTTCGTCCCAATATAATTGGAACTTGTTCATCAGCCTCATAATCTAGGATAATGAAGTCTGATGGGAAGATGAATTTCCCAATTTGCAGCAACACATTTTCAATCACTCCTTCAGGGTAACCTATGGATCTGTCTGCTAGTTAGAACATCACATTAGTTGGTCTTGGAGCTCCCAGAGCCAATTGCTTGAACAAGGATAAGGGTATCAGATTTATGGCCCAAATCACAAAAAGCACGACTCATATCTATATTACCAATCCGGACAGGGATGGTGAAACTGCCAGGATCTTTAAGCTTTTGAGGAAGCTTGTTTTGGACCCTTGAAATGCACTCCTCAGTAAGTGCGACTATCTCAAATTCATCCAATCTCCTCTTGTGATATACTATACCCTTGATGTACTTAGCATACTTTGGAATTTCGTGAAGTACATCTACTAATGGAATATTCAATTGAACCAAGCTCAACATAGAGAGAAATTTGTTAAACATGCGACCATCGTTCTTCTTCTGCAATCTTTGGGGGAAAGGTAGTGGTGACCTTGCAGCATTCACTGGCTCTGAACTTGCATCATCTTTATTTGACTCATGTGTTGCCTTATGAATCATCTCTCCCTCAGGTATAGGCTTGTCCTTTCTCTTCTTCGGAACTTCTTCTAATTCCCTCCCATTTCTGAGTGTAACTGCATTAACTTGAGGGTTCTTCTTTGTATCACTAGGAAGAGCGCCTACAGGCCTAGTATTTTGACTCGACGCTAACTGCCCCATTTACGTCTCAAGATTTCTGAAATGTTATATCCCGTACTTTTCTACATTGGATTTGTCATAGATAATTGACATAAGTTCAAGGAAAAGACTATTTTTGAGGTTATAAGTATTTGTGACATTCCAAAGAAATGATAAGTAAGTGATGTGAAGGTCAGAGGGTAAACAAATCGAAGAAAGCGAGTTTCGTTGATGATTGACATTTTGGGATAAAATACGGTCCAAGCTATAATACCCTATATTTATGGACTAGTGTTATACCACATGACCATGATAGTAAGGTATATGAAACATATTAGTATTTAAGTGAATCGAGACCTAGAAATTATTGTGTGAATAATTGGTTAAATGTTGGTATAAAGTCATGGAATTAGTTATAAGTGAATAAGTGTCATTTGTATGAATCCACGTGGAATCATGAGGATAAGAGGGACTTATAACTAATCAACTTTATAAGGATTGAGGTGGCAGCAAGTAGGGAATTTAATATTGACTAGGCAAGTCTTGGAGCTAGGTGAAAAGATTAGAGATTTTTGGTGGCTTAGTCATCAAATTATTGGGATGGATAAGTAATTAAAATATTTGGATAGGCTTGATAAGCCTCCCAANTAGGTGGAATTTTAGGGGAATTTGTGGGTTGCCACATGGCATAAAATTGGCCAAGGGTGGCACCAAAGTGAACATGAGTCATAGCACTTGGTGTGCGTTGTTTACACGTGATAATGCAAGCCTTTAATCCTTCATATTATACATCTTTTACAATTGAGATATAAAAAGAAGGTTGAAATCTTTTCTTCTATTAATAATCTCTTACTTTAGAAACATAGCAAAAACATACATCCATGATACTCCATATGTCTAGCAATATGAAATATGCCATGATCATAAGAAGTGCTTAGTTCTTGTTCAAAGATTTAGAAGGAGCAAACATTATTCTTGCAAGCTCAAGTAAAAGTGTTCAATAAATTCGTCAAGTAAGGTATATTTAAACTATCCCTTCTTTCCTTTTGGCATGATCCATATGATGCAATGAAACGAGCAAGCACATAACTTTCATAAATAATTCTATTCCTAGAAGTACTAGAGTAGCCTATGTTCTTGATTCACCATATGTCCTAATATTATATCGTCTATTTATGGGTTTCGTGACATTCCGAGAGATCTTATTAACTTACTTCATTATGCATGGCATTCATTTATACATGTATATTGATCTATGACCAGATAGCATTATATACGTGTATATTATATGTATATGGGGTATGAAAAAAGGTTATGACATTATATACGCACCACAACCTGATTAGTTGGTATACATTGATGATTTTGCCCACAGAGGCTGAGATGATATGATGGGATGCCCTCAAAGGCTTCATGATGTTATGTACGTACAGACCTATGCATTATATGACATTTATATGCATATGCATGACATTATAAATATTTCATAATTTACAGAGCTATCCAGACTTATAGGTTGAGTCCTTTACTCCATGTTTCTTCCATGTCCTTTATATACTGATTTACATGCCTTAATACTCGGTACGTTATTCGTATTGACGTCCTTTTATTAAGGACGCTGCATTCATGCCTACAGGTATAGATAATCAGTTTGACGAGCCCTCATAGTAGACAAGGTTAGCATTCAGCAAAGGATCGGTATGACTCCACCTCATTCGGAGTGCAGTCGAATCTATAAGTCATCGTGTCAGAGTTTTGCTACAGACTTATGGGTAGACCGGTACCCTGTCCCATTTGATGTCAATAATCTTAGAGGCTAGACACATATTCATTATTTACAGTATGTTAGAGGCCTTGATGGCACGTATGTATTCACGTTTTAAGAACGATGGTTCATTGATGCAACGTTTTCCCACTTTTAGTTATACATTACAAGTTGTGGCCATGTTGGCCCATGATAGTTATAGAAGAAAAAAATGAGTTATAGAGTGGTTCGATCGGGCCAGTACGACACCGGGTGCTAGCCACGCCTCCCCAGGTTTGGAGCATAACAGAAGTGGTATTAGAGTAGGTTGTGTCCTAGGGAATATACAAAGTTGTGCCTAATAGAGTCTCACTTATGGGTGTATTGCGCGCCACATTTATAATTGAGAGGCTATAGGGATTTAGGAAATGTTACCCTTCTTTTGTTTCCATATCGTGCGATAAAGCTGAGTCATAAGAAGTCAGTATGAGCTTTCGCTAGATTTTGTATGCACTAGAGGTGCTATCATAATAGAGCTTTAAGGCGTATATATAATTTCTACCTATGTAGAAGGGAGATTATAAAAGCGACAGAAGATACGATGCGATATTGAAAGGTACGTAAGGTAAAGGTGAAGAAGATACGAGATACTCAAGTACAAAAAGTTGTGAATAGTCGAGACTTCAAATAGAGGTTGGGTTTAGTTTAGTTTAGTTTACAGAGAAGATCCTAGTAAAATTTTTGTAAATCTCTAAGAGTTAACATTCAAGGACGAATGTTTCTAATGGGGGAAAGGATGTTATATCCCGTACTTTTCTACATTGGATTTGTCATAGATAACTGACATAAGTTCAAGGACAAGACTATTTTTGAGGTTATAAGTATTTGTGACATTCCAAACAAGTGATAAGTAAGTGTTGTGAAGGTCAGAAGGTAAACAAATCGAAGAAAGCGAGTTTCGTTGATGTTTGATATTTTAGAATAAAATACAGTCCAAGCTATAATATTATGTATTCATGGAATAGTGATATACCACATGAACATAGTAAGGTATATGAAATATATTAGTATTTAAGTGAATCGAGACCTAGAAATTATTGTGTGAATAATTGGTTAAATGTTGGTATAAAGTCATGGAATTAGTTATAAGTGGATAAGTGTCATTTGTATCCATGTGAAATCTTGAGGATAAGAGGGACTCATGACTAATCAATTTTATAAGGATTGAGGTGGCAGCAAGTAGGGAATTCAATATTGACTAGGCAAGTTTTGGAGCTATGTGGCAAGATTAGGGAGTTTTGGTGGCTTGGTCATCAAATTATTGGGATGGATAAGTAATTAAAATATTTGGATAGGCTTGATAAGCCTCCCAACATGGTAGCCAAGGAAAGTTCAATAAATGACTCTTAAGTCATAGAGCAAGATGGCATATTTAGGAAATTGGTGAATAAGTTAGGTGGGAACATCACCCCGCCACGGGGCAAAAAGCGAAAATGACTCAAACATCTAAATATTGACTCTTTATTTATGAGATTAGGTGGCATTTTAGAGGAATTGGTGGGCTGACACATGGCATAAAATTGGCCAAAGGTGGCACCAAAGTACACATGAGTCATAGCACTTGGTGTGCCTTGTTTACACGTGAAAATGCAAGTCTTTAAGCCTTCATATTATACTTCTTTTGTTATTAAGATATAAAAAGAAGGTTGAAATTTTTTCTTCTATTAATAGGGAGTCTCTTACTTTAGAAACATAGCAAAAACATACATCCATGATACTCCATATATCCAGTAATTTGAAATATGCCATGATCATAAGAAGTGCTTAGTTCTTGTTCAAAGATTTAGAAGGAGCAAAAGTTGTTCTTGGCAAGCTCAATTAAAAGTATTTGATAAATTCGTCAAGTAAGGTATGTTAAGACTATACCTTCTTTCCTTTTGGCATGATCCATATGATACAACAAAACGAGAAAGCACGCAACTTCTATAAATGATTCTATTCTTAGAAGTACTAGGGTTTCCTATGTTCTTGATTCCCCATATGTCCTACTATCATATCGTCTATTAATGGGTCTTATGACATTCCCAGAGATCTTATTAACTTACTTCATTATGCATGGCATTCATTTATACATGTATATTAACCTATGGCCAGATAGCGTTATATACACGTATATTATATGTATACGGGGTATGAAAAAAGGGTACGGCGTTATATACGCACCACAACCTGATCAGTTGGTATACATTGATGGTTTTGCCCATAGAGGCTGAGATGATATGATGGGATGCCTTCAGAGGCTTGATGATGTTATGTACGTACAGACCTATGCATTATATGACATTTATATGCATATGCATGACATTATAAATATTTTATGATTTACAGAGTTATCCAGCCTTACAGGTTGAGTCCTTTACTCCATGTTTCTTCCATGTCTTTTATATACTGATTTACATGCCTTAATACTCAGTACATTATTCGTACTGACTTCCTTTTGTTGAGGACACTGAATTCATGCATGTAGGTATATATAATCAGTTTGACGAGCCCTCATAGTAGACAAGGTTAGCATTCAGCGAAGGATCGGTAAGACTCCACCTTATTCGGAGTGCAGCTGAGTCTATAAGTCATCATGTCAGAGTTTTGCTACAGACTTATGGGTAGGCTGGTACCCTGTTCCATTTGATGTCAATAATCTTAGAGGCTTTGTAGACACATGTTTATTATGTACAGTATGTCAAAGGCCTTGACGGCCCCGTATGTATTCACGTTTTAAGAATGATGGTTCATTTTGTTTTGGTAATTAAACTTTTATATATACTAGGGAAAGTATTTACACTCAATACAGAACCCTTACAAAGTTTCCTATACTTTCCTCCCTCCCCAGTACACAATATTGCTATCCTTCTACTACTCTAGCTATTATATTGGATAGTAATCCATTCTACTTAGAATTCTTGCTATTTCCCTATTGCTTCTACAGTGCACTTCTTGTACAATTAGCTTGCTAAGAATCTCACAGTTCCTCGCTTTAGCTTGAAATAGTCTTGCATTCCTTTCCTGCCTCACAAAATATACACAGCCTGCTAAGATAATCTTGAACAGCTCTGTTGTTGCACTTCTATTTCTTGCCCAGTTCTCTGCCCATTGTAACTCCTCAGACCAGCCATAGATGTTTCTATTGATACCTTGCCAGTTGAGCAATATTTTCCATACTTCAGCTGCATATTGACATTCAAAGAATAGGTGTTGTATAGATTCATTTGCTTGTGAACATAAAGGACATGTTTGATCATTGTGAATTCCCCACTTTAGCAATCCATCCTTTGTGTACAGCCTACCATTTGCCACCAAGATTAGCATGAATATCCACCTAGGACATCCTGCATTGTTGCAGACCAATTTCCTCCAGCTCACTTTGTTAAAGTCTTCTTGCAATTTATAGTATAAGTGCTTTATAGAGCAAGTCATCATCTGCCTGAGATATTCATAATTGTATCCTACTTTCTCAAAGTTTTCTTTAGCTTTCAATATTTTCCTCACGATCCATGATGCTTGGTTCATTTGCACCTCCCATACATGTTTACTTTTTATGTAATAACAGTGTACTCATTGTATCCATAGCTTGTTCTTTTCTTTGCAGATTCCAGAATTATTTGCTGACAACTGCTTTGTTCCATAAGCTAATATCCATAACATTGAAAACTCATGTTGACCTGGGTTGGCATACTTTCTCCCAAGCTAGTAAAGCTTTCTTTGAAATGTTGCTATCTCCTATCCATAAGAAGCTTCTGCAAATTGTCTCAATCAGCTTGGTGATATTTTTTGGTAGCATGAAAATTTGAGCCCAATAGGTTTGAATGGAGAACAAGACACTTTTGATGAGTTGCATTCGCCCTGCATATGAGAGTAGCTTGGCTATCCAAGATGTGATTTTTCCTACTAGCTTGTCAATTAGAGGTTGACATTGTGCTAGTGAGACCCTTTTAGAACTTAAAGGTACTCCAAGGTATCTTACTGGAAGCTCCTCTCTTTGGATTCCAAGGTACTCCAATATGTATTTTTGAACATCTTGTGATACTCCTCCAAAGAAGATGGAACTTTTCTTCTTGTTAATTTCCAATCCTGATGCTTTTGAAAAATCCAAAAAAGTAGTCATATAGCAGCTGAACTGAACCAAGGTCTCCCCTACAAAACAACAAAAGGTCATCTGCAAAACCAAGTTGCATGATCTGCATCTTTGCACATTTAGGATGATAGTTGAAGTCTGGTATGTGGTGCAATGTCTTCAATCTTCTTGTTAAATATTCCATTGCCAACACAAAAAGAAATGAGGATAGTGGATCCCCTTGTCTAAGCCCTTTCCTGGCTTCAAAAGGCTGAGTTGGTGAACCATTCAAGATGATAGCATATGTAACACTTTGTACACAAGCCATTATCCATTTCACAAACTTCTTTGGAAATGCTAATGCACTCAAAACCTGCTCAAGAAAAGTCTATTCAAGTGAATCATATGCCTTCTGCATGTCCAGTTTCATCATGCATCTAGGTGACACTCCTTTCCTTCCATACCCTTTTACTAACTCATGTCTTAGAAAGATATTATCAATAATGACTCTTCTAGGGACAAAGCACACTGAGTCTTATTTATGAGATCATCCATGACTCCTTGTAATCGACTGGTCAAGACCTTTGAGATGATTTTGTAAATCATGGTACAACATGAAATAGGTCTATACTCCTTGATGGTAGCAGGATTTCTGACTTTAGGAATTAGAGTTATTGATGTGCAATTAACTGGCTTAAACATATATGATGTCTGAAAGAAGTCCATCATAGCTTGTGTTACCTCCTCCCCTATGATATGCCATGACTTCTTAAAAACCTGCATTGAGACCATCATATCTTAGGGTCTTCAAGTCATTTATATCTAGTAGAGCTTCCCATATCTCTTGCCTTGTGACAGGCTGAATCAATTTAACTTGTTATTCTCTTTTGAGCACTGTCCCTTTTTGCATTACATTTAGATCTATTGTTGGGATTGCAGGAGCATTTGAACCTAGCAATTCTTTATAGTGTCCAAGTATTTCTGCCTCTATTTCCTCCTCCATATGTATTTGTACCCCTAGATCATTCGTGAGGGCATGTACTCCCTTCAAAGTGTTCCTCTTCTTCATATGAGCAAAGAAATATGCAGAGGTAGTATCTCCCAACTTCAGCCACTGTACCTTGACCTTTGCCTATAAATGCTTTCCTCTATCAGTATCCACTTCTCTAGGTTCTTTTTCAGTTCCTTTTCTTCCTCAATTAATTCTGTATTCATCATTTTACATCCTATTTTCTCTTGCACTTCCTGTAGTTCCCTTATGGTTTCTTTGATTCTGTCCTCAACACCTTTGTAGTGTTGTGTGTTAAGCCCTTTAATAACTTGTTTGACTCTCTTTAGTTTGTTCCATACTCCTTGTAGCTTCCCAGTATCTCCATTTGTGTTCCATACTTGTTCTACTCATTGTATAAATTGAGGGTGATCAGCTATGCAATTAAAGAATATGAATAGACTGGCCTTCTTCCTCCGCATTTGTGAAATCATCAGTTTAAGTGGAGAATGATTAGAGAAAGATGGTTCTAGGATTTGTATACACAGGTCGGGCATTGTCATCATCCAGTTTATGTTTACCAATCCTCTGTCTATCCTACTATATGTATGGTTATTTGTCCATGTATAGTCCCTTCCCATAGTAGGTAATTCATTCATGCTAGTATCACTCATGAACTCCCTAAAATCCTTTGTTTCCACATCTTGTATTATAGTGCCATGTTGTCTATCCTGACTATTCAGCACTGAGTTGAAATCTCCCATTGCTAGCCATGGTCCTTGCTGTATACTGTTTATCTGCCTCAATTTCTGCCACATACTCAACGTGTCTTTGATAGTATACAAGAAATATATTGTTGTGAATCCAAATGCTAATAATCTTGAATGTGTTCTGACTTGCCCATGTATGTATTGGCAATCTATGTCAATTGGTTCAAACTCAAAGATTCTTGGGTCCCATAGTATCCATATTCTACTCTTATTGTTGCTGCTAAAATTTGATATCCACTGCCATCCAGGTGCAATTTTATTGGTAATACCGGTAGCTTTCTGTTCCTTTATTCTGTGCTCTACTAATGTTATCACTGCCTTTTTATTCTGCTTTATGAACTCCTTTGTCTTCTTTTGCTTGTATGCTTTATTGAAACCTCTAACATTCCATGTAATCACGCTCATATTGGTATGAATTGAGTATCATGGAATATCTCATGTGCCCCATAAATCCTCATCTACATATTGCTTGATCCTGGATCATTGGTTGCTTGTACACTTACCAAGGATTGAAACCCATTGCTGCCACCTATGATCTTGCCTTTAGCTTGCTTTGTTTTTTCCATTCTTGCTGCTGACTTCCCACTAACTGTTGTCCACCCTTCTTATTCAGGTTGTTTAGAAGCTACACTAACCTGTATTGTGGTATTCTCTAATGGTTTTGTTATTTCCATCCTTTGTGTTTTCTCCTTCTCGTATTTATTGTCCTTAGGTCCAGCTTTCTCAGTCTTCTGCCAGACTTGTTTGACTTTATTTCTTCTCCCTCTATATGCCTGCCTATGTGGTTGTTGCATTGTGTTTTTATTGCAATTGTATCCTATCTGTAGACATTTGTTGCAGTGTGTTGATTCCCAATCATAGCTTATCTCATGTTCAATTGTTTTGCCTATTGGATCCTGCATCTTCACCCTTCTAGGAAGGGGTTTTGTGATGTCCATCTCAATCAACATTCTCGCATAAGAGATTCTGACTGTACCAGTTGTATAATCATCAGCATACACTGGATTTCCCAGGGCACTCCCAATCTTGCTTAATGCCTTCATACTCCAACAAATCAGGGGAAGATTTGGGAACTTCACCCACAAAGGAATGGTTCTCAGTACTTCATCATGCAAATTAAAATCTGGTGTCCATGCTTTCATTAGAATGGGACGATTGTTGATAGTGTGAGGTCCAGTATATAACACTTGATTCATTTCCTCCAAATTTGCAAATCTAATTACAAAATAGTCTTCACTATGATAACAGATCTGAGGTTTTATGGAGTACTTACCCACTAAATTTAGGAATCATTCCATTGCACCAATGGATGGTGAATCCCCAATTACATACAGTACAATTACTGTACTCCATTTTGCAATTTCATGCTCAACATCCTCTAGATCTAATTTCACAATTTTCTCCCCATCTTGAATCATTGGTGCAATATATTGAAGATTCATTCCTCTCGATGCCAGCTTATTCCTTGCTACAACATTTGCCCATGACTGAGTTCCACTTGCCTTCTCTATTTGTTCAGTACCTTTGAGATTTTTAGCCTTTTCAGCTTTGCATGGCATTATTACATTGTTGTTGGGTGTAGTAGAGTTCATCTGTGTCTTTCCGCTCCCAGATCCATAAACTATTCCACTATTAGATACAGGTATAGCTATCACTGCTTTCATCTTGACATTGTTGATTGCTAGATCTGAATCTAGCTTACTCTGCTCACTCATCATGTCCTAGAGTATTGTTTCATGTTGGTTCTTCTATTCTCACCCCTTTTGGTAAGATAAAAAAATCCATTATTGCCTTCCTTGCATCTGTTGATCTCGGATCAGTAGTTGGAATTTTCGTTAGATTCCGATTAGGTTGTCCTCTTCCTCCCATGGCTTCCATCTGCGTACGTTAGCAAGGCCACATTAACGTGTGCCGAGAGAAAACGTGGAAGAAAGTTCATTGATGCAACGTTTTCCCACTTATAGTTATACATTACGAGTTGTGGCCATGTTGACCCATGATAGTTGCAGAAGAAAAAAATGAGTTACGAAGTGGTTCGCTTGGGCCAGTATGATACCGAGTGCCAGCTACGCCTCCCCAGGTTTGGGGCGTAACATGAAATCGGTCCTGAGTTGTTGATTGTCAAGCAACAACTTCTACAACAAGTCATTCGTACTCTCTTCTATTTGCTAGGGTAGCTTCTGAGGTTGATTAAAATTTCCTTGGGGCCTATAATGAATTGAGTCGGCTGATTTCCACCCTAAGAGAAGTAGGATGATTCTTCCAATTTGGGTTGTAAGTGTTCCCATATTGTGCATGTTGATTTATCGGACCTCTGCTCTGTTGCCCCACATAGTATATAGATTCAGGATTCATGGGGCACATGTCACTCGTGTGACTGTTACCACATAATTCGCAGCAAGTAAACATCTGTTGTACATGTTGTATCTATTGTGTTTGGTACATTGTCATCCTATTCATCTGGTTTGCAAATTCTGCTATATATGCTCTCATGGTCGAGAAGTCATCAAGCTCAATTACACCGGCTTCTTTCTGCATAAGTGCTCTTCGTGATTCCCCATCTCCTTGCCAATTATGATCATTAGCAGTGAAGTTGTTTAGCAGGAGTTAGATTTCACTATACGGCCTCGCCATGCAACTAACCCCACAAGCTGGGTCAAGATTCATCTTTGATGTCTCGTCTAACCTATCAACGAAA